TTTGAACCAGAGTCAGCTATATAGAATCCAGCTGCCTTAACTGTTAGGTTGTGGTGCAGGCCCAAGTGGCTGGCTTTTTAAATATGGTAACACTAACTGCAATTGGTAAGGGACTTTATCATAAGCAACGTTCTCACATTTTCAAGTTGACCTTCATCTTAATCCTGGAAGATGAGCAGGTGAGCTATTTATAAACATTTATGCTTTAAGTTAAAGTTATAACGGATCAGACTGAGCTACGTTATATGAATACTGGGAAATAATGAATAAACTTCAAGACTAATATTTAAGGTGTTATATCTCTCCATAACCTATGTGGTTGTTGCCAATTTGTATGTGTAAGTGACTGGGCCATTGTCTTCTGATTCTATATCATTTGCTGTGTTTCCTTTATGAAGGTGCCTCATTCATATATGAACAAAGAAATCAGAGATTTTAAACTTTAAAAGTGGGTAAACAATGCTGAAAGGCCATTGCTGCTCTGACGTGCTTGCTGGAAAAGAAAAAACCCTGATTCCATGTTGATCCAGTGGAAAAGAACTGAGTGTTAGAGCCAGAGGTTCTATGTTAAAATCCCAAACCAAGTATCTGTTTTTCCCTTGAACTTAACCTCTTTAAAGGTGAGTTTCCAACCAGTAATGTAGGACTAATAAGACCTTACTCAGAATATTTCTTAAGCAGCAGGTCCTGAGCAATTTACTTCTTTGTATTGTTTTACTTAGTCATCATAACAACATTACAAAATAAATTTTTAGGAACTTCTGTTCTCATTTTAAATGATCAGTTAAAAAGAAAACATCAAGAGTTAGTGCACACTTTTTACATATTAAGTATAGATCTAGACACTTTTCCATAGATCAAACTTCTTTTTTTATTTTTTTATTAATTAATTTATTTTCATTTCATTTTCTTCCATACATTCAATCACATTATTATTTGTCTTACAAAATGGATATTTCAACAGGTGAACACCTCTCCCCAGCACCGTCGATAAAACCACAAAGATCTTCAACAGATAATACCACACCTCTTTGTGCCATTAATGCTTTTCCTCCCTGTCCCTCCCTCAAATGTCCTTCCTCAGACCCTCCTCTTTCACACACACTATATCTGGTATTTACATCTATATACTGCATTTCTATATCCTTTAGACAATTAGTTTCAGTCACAGAGTGCAGACACATGTATATACGTCTATATAAATAACAAATTGTGCCTTTTCGTCAAGATGGCACTGAAAGTGAAGAAGAAAGCTCCTGCCCCTCCCAAAGCTGAAGCTAAAGCGAAGGCTTTGAAGGCCAAGAAGGCCTTGCTGAAAGGCGTCCACAGCCACAAAAAAAAGAAGATCCATACATCACCCACCTTCCGGAAGCCCAAGACGCTCAGGCTGCGGAGGCAGCCTAAATATCCTCTGAAGAGTGCCCCCAGGAGAAACAAGCTTGACCACTATGGCATCATCAAGTTACCCCTGACAACCGAGTCTGCCATGAAGAAGATAGAAGACAACAACACACTTGTGTTCATCGTGGATGTCAAGGCCAACAAGTGCTAGATCAAACAGGCTGTGAAGAAGCTCTATGATATTGTTGTGGCCAAGGTCAACACTCTAATCAGGCCTGATGGAGAGAAGAAGATGTATGTGCGACTGGCTCCCGATTACGATGCTCTGGATGTTGCCAACAAAATTGGGATCATCTAAAGCAAGTCCAGCTGGCTAATTCTAAATACACATTTTTCCACCATAAATAAATAAATTGCAAAACAAATATATGTGTCCCTAATCATATCTAGTCAGAGGGTGGGGGGGGATAGGACGATGGCTGTATAGGGGTACCTGTTAGGGGTAACATTCTCTCTCTCAGAAAAGGAATTAAATTTAGAAAAAGGATAAACTAATCATTTAAAGTCCCAAAACAGTTCAGACTTTTATAGAAATATTTGAGAATTACCCATGATTTGCAAATGGCTATTCAACTTTATGATATTTCTTCTTCTACTTGTAGGTAAGACCATTTCCTGGTCAGGGTGGCAGGGAGTCAAACGTGCTCTCATTCCATGGCAATGGCAGGTAGGACTAATGTGTCAGTATTACTTACCTCACACCTGAGATGCAGCCACCAAATGTTTTTCAATAATTCACTCCAACAAGCAACTAGGAAATAAATTATCAAAGCTGGCACTTGAAATCAAATCTGTTCTCTTCTCTATCACATGTGGATTCTTCCTTTTCTATCTTTTGAAACTTTGGCCCTTTTAAAGTATCAATAATTTATCTCCACCTGAATTTCTGTGACTTTTCATTGCTATCTCCACAAATGTTGAATTATGTTTTCTCAGTGGCAACAGATGCCCTCAAGATAATTTTGCATATGTGTGTACCAACTTGCTTGTGACTCTAATACTATAAACAGTTCTGTAAGTTTCTGTCATAACTGCAGATTCTACATCATCACTGGTGTAACTTCCATCCTTTCCTTCAAATACATGCGCAACTTAAGCTTGGTAACTGAGTTTGTCCTTCTTGGACTTTCACAGAATCCAAATGTTCAGAAAATGGTATTTGTTGTATCTTTGTTTGTGTACGTTGCAACCATTGGCGGCAACATGCTCATTGTAGTGACTGTCCTCAGCAGCCCTGCCCTGCTGGGCTCCCCCATGTACTTCTTCTTGGCATTTCTATCTTTCCTGGATGCATGCTTCTCCTCTGTTTTCATCCCAAAGTTGATCTCAGATTCCCTCTATGAGAGGAAAACTATCTCTTTCCAAGGTTGCATGATCCAGATCTTTGCTGGACACTTCTTTGCTGGAGTAGAGGTGATTGTCCTCATGGCCATGGCTTATGACCGTTATGTGGCCATTTGCAAGCCCTTGCACTACTCTTCTATCATGAACTCGAGGCTCTGTGGCATTCTGATGGGAGTAGCCTGGACAGGGGGCTTCTTGCATTCCATGATACAAATTCTCTTTACTTTCCAGTTGCCCTTTTGTGGCCCCAATGTCATTGATCAATTTTTCTGTGACTTGTACCCATTACTGAAGCTCGCCTGCATGGACACACATATCGTTGGCATTTTGGTGGTCGCTAACAGTGGGTTTTTCTGCATTTTAATCTTCTCCTTGTTGCTTATCTCCTATGGTGTCATTTTGCTCTCATTGAAAACCCATAGTTCTAAAGGGCGATGGAAAGCTCTCTCCACCTGTGGATCTCATATTGCTGTTGTGGTTTTGTTTTTTGTCCCATGTGTGT